AACACACACACGTACATGCACGTCGCTATATAAGTACAATAATCTTGGACGCGACGTTAAACCCGATTTCACCTCACCTCACCTTGTGGTTGAAGACAGATCGGATGAAGCTTTCGACAGCCTTCTGTATATTGATCGTGATGTATCGCATCTTAAAATATAATACGATTCCATTTCAAATACGAGCAACGCAGAAATCAAAACGGACAACTATACCTTATGTACGAATTCGAAGTCAATATACCTGTATATAGTATATCGTTGAAATAACGAGGGTGCGTTCACACTTCATTTTGTGTAACTCTACATCGTGATTGTCACCAACGAGGCTATACCAAATGCAGACAATACAAAACGGAAATCAAGAGTTGCCATTGATCTTGTAAAGGCCGTTAAATCCGATTAAGGTAGTCAGAATCCGTATACCATCTGCAAATAGTCATTTCCCCGACAGGGGGCGCTGTGGCGGATAGTTTTATGGCCGCTTCAGTCTGGCTCTGGGATTTGGAAGCACCGGAAGAAGGCGTACATTTACCATTGTTACCACGGTTCTTGTCTGTTCAGACAAAGAGAAGAAACAAACAGCTATTTGTATTCAATGGACAATAATTATCAACTAAATGTTTTGACAATCTTAAAGTAAATGCATTTCAGAATAATTTCGTCGGTATTCCTATTAGGATACAATTTGATATCATACAATAGTTTCTGTTTTTAGCAGAGCTTGCTAATGCTTGTGGAAATAAGTTTTCTTTTATTTTGTTCTGTGGAATATCTGGAATAAAAAAAATATCTGTTGCTCGATATAACAGGAGCAAAAAAGAGAATGAATCATAATAAATTGAGGGAACTAAAACAAGACATGTCAGTCTGTCGTTCAGAATAAACCATACAAGGCCCCAGTTGCAGACAGTTTGACAGCACGAGTGTACTTCATACGCTTCTGTGATATGAATATAACAACAGCCGCCTTGAGGCACATCATATAAAGCTCAATTGAATTGTTCATTGTGTAGTGACGACGTTAACATAAAAATGCAACACTTCAAAGATGATTTGATGTTATTTTTGACATGATCACTGCACGACAAGCATAATGCCAATACTTTAATTAAATTAGGGCTAGCCTCGGCTGATTGGCAGTACTGGCAAAGTTGATATAAATCCTTCAAATGTTTCTTAGTTCAATTTTGTTATGAATATTAAATGATCAGTTGACAAAAATCCATTCTCACGTGGTATTAATTAAAGAACAAGGACACCAGAGTGTGGACCACAGTCTTCCGTATCAAAACTGCTGGGCAAAAGATATACACGTGAAAATACGAGTTGACCACAAAACCACATGCGTTAACAAAACGTTACAAGGCTGAAAACAATGCAAACTTAAACAAAACTACTATGGCCCCCGTATCAAATACCTTACTATAGAATTACGTTTCTTGTCTGTTTCCTCTTAGCCACTATCAAACAGGGGGTATTCTTTCTATATATAGCTAATTGTGATAAAAAAAAAAGATTATCCGCGATGACATTGTGTACAATACAATTGGTGAATTTGTTATCATGGCTGGATATTTTGTAAAAAAGTTAAGAGTTAAGGTCCAGAGACTACGAACCTCTTGTTGGTGTTAGTTATGCGAACACTGCCACAATGTAAGCCATACAGCCAATTACCTTCAATGTACGATGATGCCGTACCGTAAATTTATATTAAGTGCACGGTTCAGCGAACACACTTGAATAAACAGGCTAAAAGATTAATGGCTTCGACTTGGTTGCCGGTCCAGTTGAAAACATTTCCAACAGAACCGAAATACTGTGTGTCATTTGTTGATGGAAGAGTAATGAACGGAAGATGGAGAAGAAATGTTGAGTCCTTCGTTTTAATCTGCTATTGCTGTGTTGACTCTGCTGAAATTTAGTGGAAAAAGTAACCGCGTGGATAGAATCCTAAGATGAGATGACTTGAAAAAGTGCGTTTCGTTAAACATCGGACTTTGTCATCCGTATCGATCAACAAACATTGTCTGTGGGTGTTCACTCCGCCTGATTAATGGCGCCATTTGTGTTTCCGCCAGCTAGGTAGCTCTTAGGAGAAGGAGATTGATGGGGGTGGATATATCCGTTGTTCAAGCACTGACACTAATCTAGCAGGTCGACTTTAACGTGATGAGTTGCGAATTTAAGATCATATGTCTCACATTTAAGTATTGTGTAGATTCTTATCAGGCGCTTCCACGTTGCCTCGTTTCTTTCTCTTTGAATCACACTGCAGCTGTTGTATCTTATAACATACATGATCTGCATCAGGTTTCATAGTTAAAAATGACCAGCTACATTAAAAGGTCCATTTTTGTAACAGTTAAGTTCTGTGCTCTAACTTTGTAATTTTGTAGACCAAAAGAATATTATCTTTTTTTCGGTTATATCTTGTTATACATCTACACGTATGTGCTGTTGAATGAAATGACATCAAATAGAAAACACTAATGGTTTTATTGTACTTATAGAATGTCAAAATGTATTTTTAAAGCAATGCTACCATTACACAATTCTCTGAACTGCTTTTTGTCTTGAGACATATGCGTGTTCAGCGTCGTTATAGCTACGACTGTGCCGCTAAAACTTACTTTTTCTCAGACACATTTATTTCAAGAATTTCGATGTGATTTTAGATGATTTCTTTGCCTCACGTCTGTAAAAATGCACTGCTGTTGACATAGCTTTCATTTCATGCACTGAATCAATTATATTTTTTGTCTGGGTCGTAATATTTTGGTATGATCCCCTTTTCAGTTGTATGTGATGAACTGGAGATCAGTATGATGCATTCGTCTTCCACCATCATGTTCGCGAACACCTGGTCATCACTGACTTTCAGTGATCCATTCAAATCAATTTCAACCTTTCACTATTTTGCCCCTCACGCACAATGAAATATGTTTCGGCAGATAATCGTGAATGATTACTCTCTAGCGTTGACATTATATATTTATGAAAGAATTTGTTTAGCACACTCGGTAGAAAAAGAAAAGACAGTTTGTGAATCTGAGTTGTCTACGGGGACACAAGTTGCCTCTATTGAGCGAGCAAGACACACGCACATACTCACGCACACACATTATAAATCTATATATGCCGATCTGAATTCTGTCGTGTACATATATACTGAACCGCAAAAGAAACGTCACCTCTAGTTACATTGCATGAAAAATTGTCATTTAAATATCTGGGTAATTTTTGTCAAAGTTTCTAAAATTTAACATTACCTTGTCCGGAAAAATGAAATTTGATGATAAAAAACAAAGCAGATGACAATAAAACCGATCGCCTAAACGCATCTCGGCAACGGTCATGGTTCCCGATGAAAGTGAGTTCCGTGCAAAGTGAAATGCACATGCGTTCCCCCATTTCTTGCCCTATACAAATCCACCCAGATCGGATAAAATTCATTCGTTATTGAACATGCCAAGATTGTCAAGAAATCAGCGACACTAAGCCCTTGGACGATTGCAAACTGGACAAACCGCCCGGCATGTAGCCAATGCATTTCAAGTCCACGTAAGGACAATATACAGGCTCCAGCAACGGTAACAGACCGCCAACACTACAGATGGCCGACCACGTAGTGGAAGACCAAGGGTCACCACCCGACGTCAGGATCGTCAGATTGTGCGACAGCATCTTTAAGATCGCTTTGTTGCTACGGAAACTGCTCGACAGACCATGGGGACACACCAGCGACACATTAGTGCGGACACCGCGCGTCGACGATTGACGAGCAGACACCTCCATTGTCACAGGCCAAACTGAGGACCCATTCTGACACCACGTCATCGCCGGGACCGTCTTCAGTGGGCAACACAGCAAAAGCATTGGCGCCACCAGCAGTGGAAAAGAGCCCCCTTCTCAGACGAGAGCCGTTACTGTATCTCAACAGCAGATGGCAGAGAGAGAGAGAGCGTCTGGCGACGCCGTGGGGAACGTTATTCGGATGCTTGTGTTGTTGAGAGAGACTCGTGGGGTGGTCCGAGCATCATTGTGTGGGGTGGATTTAGTCTTGCACAGAGGGTCGGCCCTGTGGTCTTCCAGAACATCGGTCCTGGGAGAGGCAATGGTGTCACAGCAGCTCGGTTCATTGATCAAGTCTTGAGACCACACGCCATACTTCATTTGGCACGTCGCCGCAACCACGAGTTTCAGCATGATAACGCCCGTGCCCACACTGCGAGAGCAACAAGAGACTTCCTCCAGCAGAATGGCATCAGAACCATGCAGTGGCCTGCCCTCAGTCCCGATTTAAATCCCATTGAGCACCTGTGGGACGAGATTAAAAAACGGCTGAATGACGTCCGACCAAAGCCGACAACTGCAGCTGAACTGCGCCAGGCGTTCCTCAGAGTGTGGGCTCAAATGCCTTTGGCCTTCACCAACCGCTTCATCCATTCCATATATCGACGTTGCACGGCAGTCATCAATACACACGGTGGACACACAGGATTCTGACTTGTGATGCCATGTTCTCAGAGACTAGTGTTGTGTTTCACTTTAGGAACATTTGACACTTTATTTTCAACCTTTAGGTCGGTTTCATCTCTTTAATATATCTAAAAGTATGTTTACAGTGTTTGGACAAATAAGGTTTCTCATATATCTATCCATGATGACGTTTCTTTTGCGGTTCAGTATAAAAAATACAACAGAATTAAGGTATATATATTCAGATAACACATTACCTGTATGTTTGGTCTCCCTAACATTGCGTGTTAACAGTTGAAACATATCGATTTCTACTTAATCGTTTAGTAAGAAAGTTCATGCTACATTTTCCTAAGCTAAATATCGAGTTAAAGACGTTTAAATTTGTATATGTATCTAGTTTCTGCAGAAGAAACGTTCTTTGTTGTTACAATATCTTATAGTACATCCAATAAATGTCCATCTCGTTCTTCCCACTTTCCACACGAATAATGACACAATTTCCATTTCTGTTTCAGAAATTATGTCAAGAACAATACTGCTCTTCCTGTCATGCGTAGTGCTGTGCTGTGTTTTCACATCCGTTACGGCGAGATATTTGGACTGCACAAAGGAATGTTACTATAACCGTTACTCTACGTTATGTGACTGCCCCTCTCCAAAGTTGCCTTTACGCTGGGGAAAGAGAGGGGTACGCGTTCCATTCAGATGGGGGAAAAGATCTTTTGATAACTACCAACCAGGATCATATGGCGACAGGTAATGACTCCCATTTTTACACCGTCAATCCCAGGTTAAAATAGTTTCTCAGCATCATTTCCGGTCACAGGAGATGATTTCCGTGGATCGGATGGCCAGACTCTGTGACTTGCCTGTCCGCGAATAATCTGTTTTAGTCGGGACCAAAACAATAAGTTCGTTATATCCGTCAGTTCGTTATAAGCGTGTTCGTTATAACCGTAGTTTACTGTAATACAAGGGTATATTACCTCATGTATAGTCGTGTTTCTTGTTGAATTTTTGAAAAGCCGATTACGGCATTATGTTGACAAATCTAAAGACCCTCATCCATTCGAATAGTAGACCCTTTGTATATTTTTATTCTGTTGAAGATATTTGAGGAATAGCATGGCCACGAACCTTATAAAGATATTTTATTTCTCAACTGCAAGCCTAACGCAAACAACAGAAAGAAAGGACAGTAAAGAGTACCCCGTGCTAAGTAAATATAGACAAAAATATGAAAGGACATCGATATCAAGACGGACAGATCGCTTCAACATGTCAAATCGGAAATGACACCGTGTGTATAGTATACCATCCTGAGCATGGCGCCGTTTGGCATTGGTTTGACATCCGGGATCGGTATGGGTCCTACATACCTGCTTCGAAATTGTGTTCACATCCTTAAGAAGAATTTCAGATGAAACTGGGATTATGTGTGTCTCACTGACCTTCCCGAAAATGTCATCATGTGATACAATTCATAACTTGTTCGGGGGCAGGGGTGGCCTAGTCGTCTAAGGCGCCGCGATTCACTGTGCAGAATCATGCCCCTTGGCCACGCCAGAAACCTATGATTGTGGGCTCGAATCCCGGTTCGCCCCGATTATGTTTTTAGGTTTGTCAGCACCATACCCGTGCTCGTTGGTTTCACCGAAGTGGTAAACGTCTAGGACCTGCATCACTTCGGGCTTTCCTCCCACATTAAGCTGACACGCCGTGATATAACTGGAATAATGTTAAGTGCGGCGTTAAACCAAACTCACACACTCATAACTTGTTCTTGTAATACTAGCATACAACGAGGGGTAGGACAGACATATTCCCCTTCTGGTGTTTTTTTACAGATAAAGTAACGTCTAGACTTTCTGATACGGTTTTAAGGTTTCAAATCCCAAAGAAAATTTCGTGAGCCCAACTTGTCATTTCGCGCTGTGAGAGTTGTAAGATATCGTTTTGCAAACTGTTTTATCTTTATGTTGTATTTAAGGAACAGTATTACTTGAAGTGATAACGTTATGTTGAAGCTAAGAGATACGCTGTATCATTACAAGCTACATGCCGAACACACAGTAGATCACAGATATCTTTGAAGTCATATTGGGCAAGGACATTGAATAGAACCGACAATGTTGCTGTGCATCTATATTGAAGCTACGAGGATTTTACAAGCCGTGGATGCTGATGATATCCTGCAAAGGAGTCAGGCTTCCACTGTATAAGCTGTTTACGTTCTTTTTCGATACGCCGTTTATCATGCATGCCTTACAAATGTCACAGTACGCCATTATACATTACAGTAAATGTTAACAAGCAATAAAAGTTTATTACCGACACAAATCATCCAATCATGTCGAAAGTTAGATTGTTAGTAACACATCAACAAAATCTCAGTGCCTTTCATGAACGTATCACTGCATTGTTCTGACATGATGGATCCCTGTTTTTCGCAAGATGACAGGCGATTCTCCTGATTCCAGTTCTCTTGTTGATATATCTCTGAAAGTAGATTAGAATCCTGCATCACAGCCATGTACATCTTGTTATTTGCACAATAAGCACCTAGTTAAAGTATAATATTTTCGCTGTAAGAGAAAAATAATTTTATCTGGCAAAAATCTAACTTACTAATTGGCAAACTGCAGATATATCATTTATTAATGATAGGACATTGTTTGTTCATGCGTCATCGCATTACAGAAATGGGGGACCCCGTTGAGACTCAGATTTAATTGAAAAAAAGAAGAAATATAAAGAATGACACAAGTGAAGAGACAGTGGACAGTGGACAAGGAGAGAATGGGGAAGTGTTTGTGTGTGTGTGTGTGTGTGTGTGTGTGTGTGTGTGTGTGTGTGTGTGTGTGTGTGTGTGTGTGTGTGTGTATTGGGTGAGTTGGGTTTAACGTCGCTTTTAACAGTATTCCAGTTATATCACGGCGTGTCAGCTTAATGTGGGATGAAAGCCCGAAGTGATGCAGGTCTCAGACGTTTACCACTTCGGTGAAACCCACGGGCACGGAAACATAATCGGGGCGAACCGGAATTCGAACCCACAATCATAGGTTTCTAGCTTGCCCAAGGGACGCAACCCTGCACAGCGAATTGCGGCGCCTTAGACGACTGGGCCACCCGTGCCCCCGTGTGTGTGTGTGTGTGTGTGTGTGTGTGTGTGTGTGTGTGTGTGCGCGCGTGTACGCGTGTGCGTGCGCGTATGCGTGTAATGAATTTTGATCAGTGTTATTTAAGACATTCCCATTTACTATCCAATTCGTGGATAGTTCGTGGATAGGACATTCTTATTATTACTTTTTGCGTATATCGCAATGTGGTTTATGCTGTAGTATAGGCTTGACCAAACGATTGATTTCTGTGATTTATTTCTTATTTCCTCCATCTCCCAATGTCTTCTTACCACGCCGCCAACAAAGAAGGGGGCCTGAAATCTCTGCCACACAGATATGATTTAAATTTCGGAAAGAGATAAAAATGATGCTAGGTGAGGAAAGTTAGGAGCATGGGGTAGTCATGCAAAGCAACATTCTGAAGCAGTAGCAAAATGAACAGAGCTTTCCTTGACGTTGTCCCTTGAATGCAACATTAAACTGACAGGGTTCGATATTTATCAGGATTCTGGTCAAAAGGTACCTGAATGTGTTTAGCCCTGTCAGCTGGTGATCTTCTGTTAACACTCTTGGTACGCCTTGGTATTACGGACAACATGCTCATGTTGTGCATGCCAGTTCATATGGGCTGTACTCACCCAAAACTGGTCCCAATGATGTCAGCCATATACTGATATATTATAATGGACATAAACATGCGGAAAACTACGGAAGCGTAGTGGGGCCACGGTGAATGTTTTTTTTTTATCTAAGTATCTCCTACGTAGGACTTAGTATCTTCTACGTAGGACTTTGTATCTTCTACGTAGGACTTAGTATCTTCTACGTAGGACTTACTATCGCCTACGTAGGACTTACTATCTCCTACATAGGACTTAGTATGGCTAAGAATTACTATCTCCTACGTAGGACTTAGTATATCCTACGTAGGACTTACTATCTCCTACGTAGGATTTACTATCTCCTACGTAGAACTTACTTTCTCCTACATAGGACTTAGTATGGCCAAGAATTACTATCTCCTCCGTAGGACTTAGTATCTCCTACGTAGTACTTACTATCGCCTATGTATGACTTAGTATCTCCTACGCAGAACTTACCATCTCTTACGTAGGACTTAGTATGGCCCATAATCACTATCTCCTACGTAGGACTTAGTATCCCCTACATGTACGTAGGAGATATTAAGTCCTACGTAGAAGATACTAAGTCCTACGTAGGAGATAATACGTCCTACGTAGGCGATACGTAGACAAAAAAATCACCGTGGCCATACTACGCTTCCGTAGTAAACAGCTTCAACTTGTATTTCCGACGTCACATCTTCAGGACGACTAGATGGATGCTTCTGATGATTCGACCAATGTCAGCTTGACTCATACTTTTCCACTCTTCCGTGAAAGCAACACCGATTTCATTGATAGTAGTGGATGGATTTTGACATTGACGTACACGTCTGCCAATGACGTCCCACGCGTGTTCAATGTGGGAAAGGTCACGACTGAATGCTAATCTTGGCATGACATGGATGTTTTGCTGTTGGAGGAACTGGGTCACAATCATGGCACAATGAGCACGTGCATTGCTATCTTGAAGGATGTAACAATGCCCAACACGTTGTGCAACTGATAATACCTCGATAGTATTTACCTGTGCCCCTGCATTTCCATGAATAATGTGGCGTGCAGTTCGATCAGTCATTGTGATACCACCCCATGCCATTATGGACCCACCCACAAAACGATATGGGCTGGAGTCGAAGCCATTGGACGTCCATAGCGGCGTCGATCATCGACGTGATATGTTTGTTGGTATCTGGCCCACAATCTGCTTAGAAACATGCAGCATTTGGGCAACAATATTCTGACGTGTGCTCACCTGCAACAGGTCCATGGCATATAAATGTTCAGCACGTTGCAATTAAATGTGTTTCATAAAGCGTCTTTAAGAGTCTGGTTCCAAGAAAAAAAAATATGGGTCTGCCCACTACCGAGTCTGAGTGAATGGTGATTCTGGCATGCCCCCTTGCACGTGCTTTCCGAGGTCACGTGTTTCATGACTGACGTATTGTTGTGTTTAGGAGCTTGATTTCTTCGACAAAAAAAATGACTGAAATCATTTAATTTCATTTGCGATTGGCAATGGAATCTGTTTCGGCGGATAATCGAAACTAGTTATTCTCTGTCGTTGATGTTTAACATTTTCATATATTCCTGTACCTCGTTTGGTAACATGTCCGTTTCATTTAGGTAGATAATCACAGTTGTTTTCTCAAATTTCTCAGTTTTCAAGGTTTCTCCCACCCCTGTTAACTTATCTGATTGACTATGGTAGCGTAGTAGGGTCACGGTGAATTTTTGTTGTCTAAGTATCTCCTACGTAGGACTTATTATGGCCTAGAATAACTATCTCCTACGTAGGACTTAATATCTCCTACGTAGGACTTATCATCTCCTACGTAGGACTTATTATCTCTTACGTAGGACTTACTATCGCCTACGTAGGACTTACTATCTACGTAGATTGAAACTCTGTAGGTAATGAAGTGTAAACCATAATCAAAGTTTTCTGGCAATACTTAGTGAAGGTAACTCGGCTCAGTGAACTGAGGCGCCTTAGATGCCTTGACGACCT